CGGCTGAACTTAATCTTGCTGAATTTAGCCCCACTTCGTTTGCTCGACTTGAATCCATGAGATTTGATGTTTTTATTTGTTACTAATTAAACAATTATTAACACATAAATAATCATATTTTAAATGTATAGATCATAACATACTTATAACTGTTGAATTTGTGGTCACATGTGATGTGTTGTCCACTTCAGACATATCTAACTCTTCACATAAAATGATTACACATTGAAAACATAATGCCGTTAAAACACTACACAATATTGTCGACACTTTAATCCCTTTAAACTTGTATTTTAAATTCATTGTACAACTAATTTAATGTTTATCACAGCATTTAAATCATATTTACACATATTTGTTGTGTAATAAAAAATGGATTTAATTTTCATGTTTATTGTGTAGTCATAGTAATGTTTAATTAATTAAATTATATTAATTAAATATTATATATATTTGTGTTTCACTTAAACTTTGTTTTGCATTTAAAAAATATTTTTCACCTAAAAGAGCCAGCATAATTTATTTAAAATATTTACAGATATTGTCTTGAGATTATAATATTTTAATTAATATGCTAAATAATTTTAACTAAAATAGTTTAATGATAACTTTATTTTATAATTATTTTACCAATATTGAAAAAGCAAAACATTTTAATATACAGTATGTCTGTCAATGAATAAAGGATTATTTACACATTTGATTATACAATTTGTATAAATTATATTTATTAATAAGCTAAATATATAATTTATATTATTAATATACTATTACAATTAGTTGTGAGACAATTGGTTATTGAATTATTGATATTAATTGTTTGTCTGAATTTAATTGTTAATAACTTTGGTTATAAATTATAACTTATAATGCTTAACATATTATAATATTTTAGAAACTGTATATAATTTTTATATTTAATAAAAGCATAATATTTTATAAAATGATTGTAGTTTTCTCATTTATACTTTTATTTATCTAGATATTAAACAAAAAATCACATGAATTATTTAAAGAATAAAACTGTAAACATATCACGAATGTATTCACTTGTTTTATTTAACATAGAGATTTATATAACAATTGGACACAGCTCGTCTAGATAATTATTTTAAATATTATTTTAGTTAATTATAACTATTGAAAGTAATTATAGTGGCATTTAAAATTAATACTAAATTGCCCATTACTATCAATTATAACTCGGTTTAATAGTTATAACAATGTTTATATAAATAGATTAATTGTTATAATATCGTTATAAATTTAATTTATAGTACATAAGTCCTTGATAAATTGCAAAAATAAAAACAGCTAACTCCATTAATCAAGTAAAAGGCATTTATTCATTTCTAGGCAAAATAAAATAATGTCTGTAACGTAAATATATTGTCGTGTTTACATTTTATGATAAATAAATAAGATGATAACAAATATAATGAGTTATTAATCAAATAGATTAAGCAAAAACATGTCAAATGAATTATAAATACGTTTTTATTATTAAAATAAAACTTATAATCAAACTAAAAAAGTTACATAACATAAAATAACCCGAAAATAATATACAAATAGAAAAAATTACCTTCATATAATAATTAAATAATGAAAAACTATTTAATTTTACGAAACAACAGGACACTGACCAGGGCTACAGATAATAGTGATAGCTCGATGATAATAAAAATAACTGGCATGCGCTCGATGAAATAGCCAAAAATTGGTATTGGTACAAAATTAATTATAGAGCACGTGCACCACATAAACGAGCTAATCCGGTCGGTGATCTTTAAATGTCGCTCAAAATAGGACATATGGCCCGGGAATAGGGCCGACACAGCGAACCCAACAGCACCTGAAGTCACCCATAGGCCAGTCGCGGACCGGTTGGCAAACATCAGGCCTACAAACGCCGCGAACGACAGCACGTAATGATAGGACACAATGTAATTGGTTTTGACGGCCAGACCGACGAAGAAGTTGATGGCCTGACCGGCGGTATAGCATATGATCATTACGGAGACCATACCGGCGGCGGTCGGGGCCGGTATGTGTAGGCCAGGTATGTATTGGAAATACGTGACACCGAATACAAAGTATATCAACTCCAGTGTGTTTATGGTTGATATGCAGACAGTCATCAGCAGTATTAGTGATAATCTCTTGGCTGTGGATCTCTTGTGGTTAATACGACTTCTGGTGCTTTTGTTGTAGTGATTGTATTTAGTGGCGGTGTTGTTGTCTATGAGAGCGCCGGGGCTTTCCACGACATTCACTTCCCGCTCAGGCTTTTCGTATCGTTTAGCAAAAAACATGATGAATAACATTATGGGACCTAAAAATTATTTTATAAAAGTTCTGTAATTTATCTATCTTGATAAATTTTAAAATAAAAATTACATTTATAAAACTACTCACAAATAGCGGTAATACAGCCGCTGATGAGAAACGGCACAAACAGTTTGGCCCGCCTTTCGTCCACATCGATGTCATACTCGTTCACACCGTCAGCGCCGGTGGTATCGCCGGTCAGATAGGGTTTGTCAATGAGTGGACCCATCGTAAAGCCCACGCCCAGCATTAGTTGGGCCAGAAATAGCACCGAACCCGACCTGCGTTGCCATATCTCCATTATCCACATGTAAAACGAGACAAACCACACGCCAACCCCGATGCCAAACACAAATGCCAGGCTGAATATTTGCCAAAGGTACTGGGTCAGTGGCATGGCCACTATTGTGACGGCACATGCCATTATTATAAGGCATATGATTAGCTGCCGGTTCACGAATTTAAATACCAGTCCTACTGATTGGCATTGGGTATAATTTTTTTGAATAAATAAAACGGTAATTTATATTGGTAATATTTTGTTTACATAGTGTGCCAAGTATTTGACCAATGGATATAAACACCTGGATGTATGACACGTTTTGTATGCTAGTGTTGAGTACAAATGTCAGGTCTACGTACGCCGGGCCCAAAGTGGACGCGCCCAACGGCTATGCATATTGTAGTAAAATAAGCATGTTTATTAAAAAATTTAAACATTATGTATAAATTAGATAAATTACAAATATAAATTATACTTACAATGGCCAGGTGACCTATTAATAAGATAACAGTGTAAAAATACAAATTCACATCCAGATCAAACATTGTTGTTTTTTAGTTGTTTTTTATATCATATTTTGTTTTTGTTTTTAACTATAGTAATCAAGTGTTGCTATTTCTCACACTTTTATCGTTATGGTGAGCGATGTTATGCCACTGTATTATTTACTTTAATTTATAACCAAGGACGTTTCTTTATGCGATAAATTTACTGCACAATCTTAATTGATTTATATGTAAATTGAATTTATTATTTAAGATTTATTTATTGATAAAAATAATATTATTGTAATCATTTAAAAAAGCTTTCAATTGTTATAAAAATAACATAATTTAAATTTAAATTTATTTATACTTATGTAAAATAAATCTAACTTTCAATTAATTACAAATAATAATGTAATTGAAAATTATTGAAAGTGTTTTATTGTGAATAAAATAATAAAATATATATGAAATGTTTTATATATTTAAATGAATATAATATGATTCTAATCTTATGTAATCTAATAATGAATATAATACTGAAAAATGTACATGGCATATTAAATAAAAACAAAAATTAATTGCCTTATAGAAACTGTAATATTAATTCCAAATTTATAACAGACAATAATTTTACAAATTAAAATATAACTTATGGTAATGATTGATAAAACATGGATTAATTACTTAATTATTTGCTTAATTTGCTTAATATGCTTTATATTTTGCAACTACTAAATAATTAACCACGATTAAAAATGCATAATGATCATTGCATTAAATGCACTATTATGTTACATGTTGATAAAAAGTTACCATTTTCGTTTCAACACCAAAAACACGGCCAACGTAAGCAACGACAGACCCAACAGAGATAACTCAAGCACAATAAAAACATCGGGATAGACATCGATGAAGGCGCCAAAAATCACCGGGGGTATAAAATTGATCACGCCGCACGTGC